GAAACCTTCAGGGCCAGGCTGGAGGGGGCTGTGAGCACCCTGATCTGGTTGTGGATGTCCCTGCCCATGGCAGGGGGACGGACGGGATGGCCTGGAAAGGGCCCTGCCAGCCCAAAGCGTTCTATGATTCTATGAAATTGGGTTTGTTCTGACTGGGCTGGTAACTGGTGAGCGACCTCCCCGTCTTTACCTTGACCCATGGGGGGGTTTTTTTGTTCTATTTCCTCACCCTTTTGTGTGGAGGGGGAGTGGGTGAGCGGCTGGGTGGGCGTCAGGCTGCTCCCAAGGGTAACATGGGGCTGCTCTGCGAGCCTCCAATGCGTGGGATGCTGGTCTTGGCCTGGGAGCTGGTGGCTGTGCTGGGGACGCCACGTCTGTCCCCTCTGCTCCCCGCTCCACCTCCTCTCGCCGCCGCTGGGAGCGTTGCCCGAGGGCTTGGTCCCTGATCCTGCCCCGGGGTCTTGCTGCTTTGTCCCTTCCAGACACCTCCTCGCTGGACGCTGTCCTCAAGCTCCTGAAAGATGCTTTCAGCTGCATCAGCCACTGCCCTCCCGGTGCGCTCTACAGCCAGCTCTGCCAGCTCCTGGCTCTGGCCACGGGGAACCAGGACCCCCTCTCCACCGCGTACCTGCTCTCCGAGTCGGTCTCCGTCACCACTCGCCATCAGCTGCTCAGCGTCATCCACAGGAAGATTCAGTGAGTCCCGTGGTCTCCCCTCCCTTCATCCCAGAGCATCACGGAGAAGGGGCTCATCCAACACCACCAGAGCCCCAGCAAAGGTGATTTTGGGGTGGTTATTCCCCCCTGACCACTTTTTCCTCTGCAGGAAAGAGAAGAAAGAGAAGAAGTCGGCGGGGGACGTGGCCGAGCAGCTCCGTGGGCTCTCCTTGCAGGAGAGGAGCGCTGCCCAGTGCAGCCACCACCTCGCCGAGCTTGAGAGACTCTTCATGTTCTGCTCCACGGGGCTGGGGTCTGAGGTGCGGGACGGCTTCCGGACGCAGCTGCAGCAGATCCCTGGCGGTAAGGGCTGATGCCAGGATGGGGACCAGGCAGCTCATAGCTCAGGAGGGTGCTGAGCGACGGCTGGGGCCCTCGGGGCTGTCCTTAAGGTCCAGGTGTGACTTTCAGGGGTGACGGTGTGCGTGTTGACCCTCACCAGCATCCAGCCCGGCTCTGTAGGGGACACGCTGCTGCTGACGCGGCTGGAGAAGGGCGCAACTCCCGTCACCATCCGCATCCCCACTGCGCTTGACAAGGTAAGGTGAGGGCAGGGATGGGAGAGGGGCAGCCCAGCCGCGTTTGGGGCTTGGATCATGGCTCCCTTCCTCCTCCAGGCCCTGCTGCGCTCGGTGCTGAGCGACTTTGACGCCATCCAGAAGGAGCAGAAGGAAGCCAACAACTGCACAGACAAGCAAGACTGGTGGCGACGCCGCTCCGAGCTCGACTGCAGGATGAAGGTGGGGGGAGAACCACCCCGTGCCCCAATGTGGGGGCACATTTCGGAGAGGGTTGGAGGGGGTCCGGAGCCCCCCAGTGACTCCCTGACCTCTTGCAGAGCCTCATCGAGACCCTGGAGACGCAGGTGCTGGGCTGCTGGAGGGGTGCCCTGATCCCCACCGGCCCCGAGCCCGGTCTGGCAGAGGAAGCCGCTCGCTTGCACCCCCAGCTCTGCCGGTGTGGCTGGAGGCACTCGGATCCCACCCTGCTCCAGGTGCCCGGGCTGGGGCAGGATTTTGGGGAGCTGAACCCCTGCTTTGTCGATGCTCACCCCCTTCTTCCTCACCGCAGGTGGTGCTGAATGCCGCTCCCCTCCTTGGCCCCGGCGATGTGCAAGCCCTGGCCTTCGGCCTCTGCCCAGGGAAGCCCCGCAAGGCTCAGCTCCTCTTGCAGGAGGCGGTGGAGAAGCGGCGAGCCTGCGCCACACAGACTGGCGGCTCTCTCGTCCTGGTGCTGGATAAGGTGAGACCCCTGCTCCTGCTTCACCTCCTCCTGGCTCTGCTGCCTCCCTCCCGCTCACACCTTCCTCCTCCTCTTCCTCCCAGCACCTGCAGAAGCTGCCCTGGGAGAGCATGGCGTGCCTGAAGGCTGTGCCAGTCACCAGGCTCCCTTCCCTGCGCTTCCTGCTCAGCTACTCCCTGGCACAGAAGGTGAGAGGATGGGGGACCCCACGTACCCCAGCCCCGGGATTTGGGGGACCCCCCAAAACCTTGCGCTGGGCTGGGACCCTCTCGTTTTCCCCCCTTCAGCAGCAGGCGGGGTCTGTGCTGAGCCGCGGCGTGAACCCCAGCAGCACCTTCTACGTCCTCAACCCGCACAGCAACCTCTTGGGCACCGAGGAGCGATTTCGGGGCTGGTTCGAGAGGTGGGTGGAAATCTTGGGGGGACTTGGGGGGTGGTTTGTGCCCCCCACCCCTTCTCACCAGTTCTCCCACAGCGAGCCCGGCTGGAGGGGGGTGGCCAGAGCCGTCCCGAGCCCGGAGCAGATGCAGGCAGCCCTCCTGGAGCATGACCTCTACATGTGAGCATCTTGGGGCTGCTTGGGGACACCCCGGGGGGTTACGGGGGCAGCCGGGGGCTCACCCGGGGGGGCTTCTCCCCGTAGCTACGTGGGGCACGGAGCGGGCGCCCGCTTGCTGGACGGACAGACCATCGCCCAGCTGGATTGCCGCGCCGTCACCCTGCTCTTTGGCTGCAGCAGCGCTGCGCTCGCCGTCCGCGGCAGCCTGGAGGGCTCCGGCATCATCCTCAAGTACATCATGGCCGGCTGGTGAGTTACAGGGGGTCTCTTTGAGGGGGGCAGAGGCTTCGCGTGTGTGGGGCTGGGGGTACTTTGGGGTGGCAGCGGGCGTAACGCCCTCCTCCCTTCCAGCCCCTTGGTCCTGGGGAACCTGTGGGATGTGACGGACCGGGACATCGACCGCTACGCCCAGGCGCTGCTGCAGGGCTGGCTGAGGGGGGGCTCGGGCGCCCCGTTCCTCTCCTACGTCGCCCAGGCTCGCCAAGCCCCCAAACTCAAGTACCTCATCGGGGCGGCCCCCGTTGCCTACGGGCTGCCCGTCTGCCTGCAGTGAGGGCTGGGGGGGCCCCGGCCCCGCGGGGCGACGGTGGCGCCCCTCGGGGGGGTGGGGTGGGGGG